TGGTTCCATTCTAGATTGGAGTCCTTCATGTCACTTCACCTGTTTTACCCATAGCCTCTCTGCCCCTCATCCCGAGCCTCAAGATTCTGTAGATCTGTCTCAAGTTCCCACTGTCTATCATAAGTTTAGGGCAGTATTCAGTAAGTCTCGAGCCACCTCTTTGCCACCTCACCGCCCATACGACTGTGCAATTGACCTTCTCCCCGGTTCCTCTCCTCCTAGAGGCAGAGTCTTCTCCCTATCTCCCCCTGAACAGGCTGCTATGAATGCTTACATCCAAGAGTCCCTGGCAACTGGCATCATCCGAGCCTCCACTTCCCCTGCTGGTGCTGGCTTCTTCTTTGTGGGGAAGAAGGATGGGGGGCTTAGGCCTTGTATCGATTACCGAGGTCTTAACAAGATAACCATTCGGAATCGATATCCCCTGCCTCTTATGGCTACTGCCTTTGAGCTGCTGCAGGGAGCTTCCATTTTTACCAAGCTCGACCTTCGCAATGCCTACCATCTGGTGCGGATACGGCAAGGAGATGAATGGAAGACTGCTTTTAACACCCCCACAGGCCACTATGAATACCTGGTGATGCCTTTCGGCCTTACCAATGCCCCTGCCGTGTTCCAGGCACTTATCAACGACGTCCTCCGAGACATGTTAAATATATTTGTATTCGTTTATCTGGACGATATACTTATATTTTCCAAGTCCATGGAGGAGCACGAGGGCCATGTCAGCAGGGTTCTCCAAAGACTCCTTGAAAACCATCTCTTTGTCAAGCCAGAAAAATGTGAGTTTCATGTTTCCCTGACTAAGTTTCTTGGGTACATTGTCACCCCTGGTCACCTGGAGATGGACCCTAGTAAGATTAAAGCTGTTCTCAACTGGCCTATTCCAACCACAGTAAAAGAGGTGCAACGGTTTGTGGGCTTTGCAAACTTTTACAGGAAGTTTATCAGGAATTTCAGCTCAGTTGTGGCTCCCTTGACAGCACTGACAAAGGGAGGAGGAGTCAAGATTGAATGGGGTCCTAAAGCAGCGGCTGCCTTCCAGGATCTCAAGGATCGATTCACCTCAGCTCCCATACTCTCTATCCCTAATCCAGACATACCCTTTATGGTAGAGGTAGATGCCTCAGATGTGGGTGTAGGAGCCATTTTATCACAGAGGAATGAGGATGGAAAACTACACCCCTGTGCTTTCATGTCACGTCGCCTGTCTAATGCCGAGCGCAACTACCACGTGGGGGACCGAGAGCTGCTTGCTGTTAAGTTGGCCTTGGAAGAATGGCGCCATTGGCTTGAGGGCGCTCGACATCCTTTCCAGGTACTTACAGACCATAAGAACCTAGAATATCTCCAGCAGGCCAAGCAACTGAACCCTCGGCAGGCTCGATGGTCTCTGTTTTTCAACAGATTTCAGTTCATCCTGACTTATAGACCCGGTTCCAAGAACCTTAAGCCTGATGCCTTGTCCCGAGCCTACTCTCCAGAGACACATGAAAAACCTGTTTCTTCTATTATTCCTAGTTCAAGGATTGTTGCCCCCCTCAGATGGGATCTGGAACAAGTGGTCCGTAAGGCTCAAACCAAAGAACCTGATCCAGGGAATGGACCGTTGGGGGCTCTATATGTCCCTCGAGCAGTGCGAGCTCAGGTCTTGCAGTGGGGTCATGAGTCTGTATTGACCTGCCACCCAGGTAGTTCCCGTACTTTAGAATTCCTCCGACGTCGCTTTTGGTGGCCTTCCATAAAGGAAGATGTTAAAGGTTATGTGGAGGCCTGCCAAGTATGTTGTCAGGGAAAATCATCACACCAGCGACCTCAGGGACTGCTCCATCCCTTACCTGTTCCCCACAGGCCTTGGTCACACCTTTCCCTGGATTTCATTACAGGACTTCCACTCTCCCAGGGCAACACGGTCATATTGGTTGTGGTGGACCGATTTTCCAAGGCTGCCCGGTTCATTCCTCTGCCCAAGTTGCCATCGGCTAAAGAGACTGCTGAGCTCATAATAAGCCATGTTTTCAGAGTTTTTGGCATTCCCCAAGACATTGTTTCTGACCGAGGTCCACAATTTCTGTCCAGATTCTGGGGGGCTTTTTGCAGACTTTTCGGAACCACTGCCAGCCTATCATCCGGGTTCCATCCTGAGTCTAATGGTCAGACAGAACGAGTTAACCAAGATTTGGAAACCACTCTACGGTGCATGGCAGCCAATAACCCCACCACTTGGTCATCTTACATAATGTGGGCTGAATATGCCCACAACACCCTCAAGTCCTCAGCCACCGGACTTTCCCCTTTTGAATGCCAATTTGGTTATTCCCCTCCATTGTTTCCTGAGAAAGAGGTCCAGGTGGGAGTTCCCTCAGCCCAGCACTTTGTTCGACGCTGTCGACGAACCTGGAGGAGAGCTAGAAGCGCTCTCCTTCGAACCTCCCTGAGATACCAACATCAGGCTAATCGCCGTCGTCGAAGGCCTCCTACTTTCCGGGTTGGCCAGAGAGTCTGGTTGGCCACTAAGAACCTTCCACTCCGGGTTGAGTCGAGAAAATTGTCCCAGAGGTTCATCGGGCCATTTAGAATAGCCAGGAAAGTTAACCCTGTTTCTTATCGTTTGTATCTTCCTCGTTCACTTAGAATTAATCCCACATTTCATGTCTCTTTATTAAAACCTGTCTTGTCTTCTCCCTTTGCCCCCCCTCGCAGACCCCCTCCACCTCCCAGGATCATTGACGGCCAGCCAGCCTACACGGTCCACCGGATACTGGATTCCAGGAGGGTCCAGAACTCACTTCAGTATCTGGTTGACTGGGAGGGCTACGGGCCAGAGGAGCGCTCCTGGATTCCTGCCAAAGACATCTTGGACCCTAGTTTAATCCGGGAGTTTCATACCCAGAGGCCAGGGTGTTCTGGTAGGAACGTCAGGAGCCGTTCCTAAAGGAGGGGGTCCTGTCACCATCCTGCAGTTTGTCTCCATTCCCCTAGAGGTCCCCATGTTTCCCCTCTGTATTTGTTCTTCCTCATGTGTTCTTGTTTACTTAATTTAGATCACCTGTGACTTGTTCCAGCCAGTGTATTTAAGTTGTCACTTTGTCTGTGTTCCTCACTCTGTGTTTGAGTCATCTCTGGTGAACTTGCCTTGCGTTTCCCTTGATCTCCTGAGCTACATCTAGTAAGAGTGTTTTACTTTCCTTGTTGCTGACTGCATTAATTATCTGTTTGTTTTCTCCCCTCGTGGAGTTTTCTTTACATGTTTATTATACTGTTAGAGTTTTTTTTGTATACCTCATTCTGAGAAGAACCTAAGTTGTCTGTTTTGCTACCTCATTTTTGAGAAGAACCTAAGTTGATATTTTTTTTTAATAAATCCTTGTTTTCCGGATTCCCTCTTGGAGTGTTTTCGTTTGGGTCCAACACAACTTCCTCTGTGGCTTAGTGGTATACACATCGGTTTCCACACCAGAGACCCGGGTTCAAGACCCGGTCGTGACACCAATGACATGACCACATCAAAATGGTCTATACCACATGTCTTCTAGACTGTTGATCAGATTTTCAGACCCTTTCAGACCGTGTTTAGATGCTTGTTAAATGCATCACCAAATGTGCTGACATGTTGCCAAACTGTCTCTAAGAGTAACTAAGAGTATCTCTGCAATGCTTAAACATACTGACACCAAACTTGAGGTGCGTTATTGACACCTCACACTAACCACACCACATCAATTTAGTAACAGTGGCACCTATTGGTCAAATGTTATAAAACAATAGATAAATCCTTCATATAATGAGTAATTATGTGATTTTACTGATATTGTGCGTAAAACTTAAAATGCCTTGTCACTCATGGATCCACTTGGTTTGATGCTCCATGACAAAAGTTGCTGCACATTCTGCCTCTGCACTTCTGTTTATTGCATTAACACATTGATGTCATAATGCCTGGTAGCTTCTGATGTTGTACCTCTTTAAAGCTTTAACATATTAATACCAAACTTTGGTTGTTTTGCTAAACATAATCTTCTAATATCTTTATTTTGTTTGTTTTGCCAGTTGCCATAGTTGCTCAAATTTATTGCCATCAGAAAAAAAGTCTATTTCCATAATTTTTAATCAATATATAATTCTGTAATAAGCATGCAGTTAGAGTTAGGTACTGTATGTGGTTTATGCTAGGGAGAAACTCCATTAGGATTTCCATGCAGCCATAGGTTGACAGAGAGGGCAGAGCTGTCAGTCAAACCCTCAAGACAAAACATTTAATGCAAGCTATACCGATGGATTCTGCCTAAACCAACATGCTGCTTGAGTTCTGTTAGTGTGCCAAATGTTCATATAAGGTCAAAACTGTGGTTGAATGTTCATTGCAACTGCTGTTGCAACTTTTTAAAAAACTTTATTGCTTAACATCCTGTCTTAATGTATTTCTGTGCTTGAGTTTTTTTCTGACTGCTCAGACGTGCTTTATTTAACAAAGCTGTAAGTGAACTGAACTCTTAAGAAAAGAGAAAGATAACTGAATTCATAAATGAATGAATGATTTTGATTGATTCAATTTGTCATTATTGAGTACTTTTAAGAGTCAAATAAACATTTTCATTGACAAATTATATTATTAGAATGTTTTTTTTCTTACATTTCTTGCAATGGATTTTAACTTCCTCCTCTTTTGTGCAGCATATACAACCACATTTATTCATGGGGTTTGTTTGCATATGAACATGGTTTTAAAATCTTGTCATACAATAAACAGAAACAGGCAGAAAATTGTTAAATAGGACATTGTAAATAGCATATATAACCTTGTAACACAAAATGTAACATATCTGTGATCAACTCTGAAACAAATTTAAACTGGTGGGTGGGAATTTCTCTCTCTCTCTCTCTCTCTCTCTCTCTCTCTCTCTCTCTCTCTCTCTTTGTAAGGTGCATCATGCCATTGAATGGTCACTACATCTCAACTGTGAGAATCTGGAAATCTAAAAAACTGACAGAAACTAAAAATGGCCGACAAGTGTCACATGTTTCTGCTGGAACAGTTAACTCTCTGCTCAATTTTTACCAGTAAACACATTTCCATATGCTTGCCACAACACTGGCGAACAAGTTTAAATATACATATACAAATAAATTGTGATACATTACTTTGTTTCAGGTACCAGTGGAGTAGAAGAGACCAATGTGTTCTTCAGTTTTGGTGAAAATGTCCGTCTGCCCTGTAATAATGTTCTGACTGCACAACAACTACATGGATCTATAACAGACATAAAGAGACAGTTGAACTGGTTACTGGAGGGAAACTGAACAACATAGAGAGTTTGACACTGGGCTCTGACTGCTCTCTGAACATCATGAAAGCCGCTAAAAAAGATTATGGGCTTTACATCTGCCTACAATATCTCTATGGACATCTACAAGAAACTGAACATGTTTTTTTGCATTTTCTTCATGGTAGTTTTGCGATTTTAAAAAGGGCAGTTATTTTATTAAACCCACACATTTGAACTCGCATGTCTTGTTTTCTGTTTCAGTTTCTCCATCACTCTCTCAGACTGAGATGAGAGCAGGTAGATCTGTGACTCTCCTGTCAGCTGTATTATTATTATGGAATCTCTTGTGATTATTTGGTCAGTATTGAAGGACATCAGCTGATGTGGGTGAATCAGGCTGGAGCGAATCTGATGACAGACTCCAGATATCAGATATTATTCTTCTTAAATCTCTGTAACATCAGTCTAACTGAGTGATGACACTCAGATCTACCTAGCCTTACTGCCTAATGACTACAGCCCCATTGACACCCTCTGCCAATGTATTGATGAAATTAAAAATTGGATGTGCCAAAACTTTCTTCAGTTAAACAAAGAGAAAACTGAAGTCATTGCGTTTGGGAACAGAGATGAGGTTCTCAAGGTGAATGCGTACCTAGGCTCTAAAGGTCAAACGACAAAAAATAAGGTCAAGAATCTTGGTGTGACGCTGGAGTCAGATCTGAGTTTCAACAGTCATGTCAAAGCAGTCAGTAAATCAGCATACTATCATCTCAAAAACATAGCAAGAATCAGATGCTTTGTTTCTAGTGAAGATTTAGAGAAACTTGTTCATGCTTTTATCAGTAGCAGGGTGGATTACTGTAATGGACTCCTCACTGGCCTTCCCAAAAAGACAGTCAGACACTTGCAGCTCATCCAGAATGCTGCAGCCAGAATTCTGACCAGAAGCAGGAAATCAGAGCACATCACACCTGTCCTCAGGTCTTTACACTGGCTGCCAGTTACATTCAGAATAGATTTTAAAGTATTATTACTGGTCTATAAATCACTAAATGGCCAAGGACCTCAATACATTACAGATATGCTCACTGAATACAAACCTAACAGATCACTCAGATCTTTAGGATCATATAAACTAGAAGTTCCAAGAGTTCAGTCTAAGCAGGGTGAATCTGCCTTCAGCCACTACGCCCCTTGCTGCTGGAATCAGCTTCCAGAAATGATCAGATGTGCTCCAACATTAGGCACATTCAAATCAAGACTGAAAACACATCTGTTTAGCTGTGCCTTTACTGAATGAGCACTGTGCTGTGTCCGACAGATCGCACTATTATGTTTTTCGTTTTCTTTTTCATTCTTTTATAACCTATTTTAACTCATTTTACTTTGTTTTTATCTGTTTTTAATAATTTTTATTGTCTGCATTTTATTTTCCTAAACTTGTCTTTTTTATTCCTGTTTATGTAAAGCACTATGAATTGCCACTGTGTATGAAATGTGCTATATAAATAAACTTGCCTTGCCTTGCCTTGCCTTAACTACAACACTCCTGAATGAAGATCACAACAGAGAGTGGAGATGTCGGCTTACTCAAAGAAATCAACCGAAGACGTCAGCCTCATTCACTGTCAAGTATTTAGGTAGGAAATTGTTGTCTGGGTTTAGGTAATCAAGTGTGTTTTTTTTATTCGCCCATTACATTTTAATCGATTTGCCTATTTTTTGATGATTACAAACAGACGTAAGGAAGAAAAAGATTTATGTTCTCTACAGTATGATGCATGTTGCACTTTACACTCTGAGAAAAAAAGTGTCTTTAGGGATTCAACAGCTCGTCACTTAAGCAGTACCCTTTAAAACAATATCCTTGTTGTAGGAACTAACATTTATCTTGAACAGCACAAGATGATGCAACTCCAGTGATTCCTGTCAGCACCACAAAATCTGTGACTCCTTCACGCAGAAACACACATCAACGCCCTACAAAAGGTAATCATCGTCTTTCTTACTTTAGCGGTGCTATTATCTAGAAGAGACATAAGACCGAGTTCCATATGGGCACATCCCTATCCGCTTGTTAAGTGGTGACGTGTTTGTGACGTATGTATACTGTTTCCTGGTCCAAGCCGCCACTCATTTGAGTGGAGAAATCAATCGTTTATAATCACGTTTTGTTCCTATCACACATTAAAGTAAATTTTATATAAAATCGTAGTGTACACAAAAATCTCTGGGCTTGCTGCAAAACAAATACAAAAATTGTAACAATTTATAAAAAATGAATCACTTTCTGGCCATCGGATATTAGGCATGGACATATAAACTGCGATCGTGATTTTCGAAAGTATTAAATCGCTTTGTAAACGTTTATTATTACCATTTCATGAGTCTCCCCATTCAGTTGAATAGAGCGCTTGGACCCGAAAGCCGCTTCGCTTGACGTCACACTTAACAAGCGGATTCACTAATTCCTTTGGAGGGTCCCTCTGGAGGGATTACAGCATTGGAATTAGCCCTTTGAATCGAGTGCAATATGTGACACCAAACAGCTTCCCATGCTTAAATGATATTTTCCTGAAGTGTTATTTTTTCGAAATTCTTTATTCCAAAGAGCTCTTCAAAGTGGCCAGATTTGATCTCTCAGTTTGAAATGACACTTAATTATTGTGGCCATAATTCTTTCACTCCGAATTACCCTTCTGAGCCTGATATATCCTATTTGAATTGCAACACATGTCCAGACTGTTCTCCTCTCTCATTTTCACATTACTACACACCACTATAGTGCCACTCACAGGACAGTTGGTGACACCACAAGTGGTTTGTAGTTGCTCTCACATACTTTGCTTGTCTTGTGAAAATAGTCATTAAAAATAACTCTGATCTCTCTCTTAAAACTTATAAAGAGATCACTGAAAAATCTGAATTCTTTATCATTGCATTGAGAAAAGCGCCTAACACAGATTTAAACAAATGTGTGAACAAGAAATTTGAGAGAGAAATAGGTCTTTTGTCTAATTTGTTTAATTTCTGTGAAATCCAAACTTGTGATTTACAAATATTAAAAAATCTGAATTCTTTTCTTTTCTATTAATAACAAGTCTTGATAAATTGTTAAATATACCATTATATATTTGAACTAAATTAACAGACATGCTCCACTGACACAACATCAGAACCTGAAGTCAGTACGACTATGACTTTGCAATGCTGTTCGTTTCTAACAATAAAACAGTCAGTAAATGTCAATAATTGTTCGTTTTGCTGTACAATTCTTTAATTGTTTGAAAGTGAACCCTTGAATTTCTTTGTGTCTCTTATCTGTCCACACATGTCCTGCAGTGATTGTGATGATTGTTAAGATTGCAGTGTTTGCAGCTTCTACTGTGATTCTTCTACAATTCATCTGTGCAAGGATAGCAGGTGAGTTTTAAACTGCACAATCTGAAGATTCGTTCTTTTTGGAAGATTTTCAATCTTATATCTTAAAACATTAAAAACATATATTTTTATGTTTTTTTTTATTTTTATTTATTTTTTTAAGAAAACAGAGGAAGGACCCTGACTACCACACAGATACATTTTGACATCAACAATTTTAGAATAAATTACTGCTTACAAACAAAAATAGACATAGCAATGCACTGACTATATGCAATTTGCTTTAAAGTCCCTTTCCTATTCCCATATTGACCTCATACTCAACATTAAATACAGCATATTTCAAATGTCTTCTTCTTCATCTATCCAGCTACAGCCTAATTTATTCGTACCTTGTAGATGTACTTGTATATATACTTGCAGTGTGTAATGTAGCTGTTTGTGAATGTAAAGAAATGAACTGCACAATTTTGCTTGACGTAGAAAGTTGGAAAGGATCAGTTTTGAACAGCTATAATGAAGTACACTGTAAAACTTCACAGTGAAAATCACTAAATGACATAAGTTAGTTTAACTTATTTATTTTTAAAGTTACTTTGACGTTTACAGTACATACTCAAACCAAATGGTTTCAAAATTTAAATAGTTTGCCCCAATCGGTTGCATTAACCAGTTTAACTTAACTTATCAGGTCTTACATTGTATAAGCAATTTAAAGTTTCAGACAGTTCACGGCAAACATCTACATAGATTCTGAAGAGGTTTTCCATCTCCTCTAACATCATGTCAAACTACTACCTCTGCACCACATAGCTTTTCACTCACTAGGTCACTGTATGGGCAACTTCTCTTATTATTATTATTGCTTTGCCTACAAAACAGCACATCATGCCAGGGAATTTGCAGTGAGAGTAGGGCCTAACACAGATTTAGACAAATGTATGAACAATATTCAAGAGAAATTGGTCTTTTGTCTAATTTGTTTAATTTCTGTGAAATCCAAACATGAACTTGTGATTTCCATGTATTTCTATGAGACATAATTTGAGCACACATCATCTCACTTAGAGAAGGAAATGTGAGATCATTCACACCAATGAGTTTAGGGTGGAAGATGATCTCAGATATTTGTACTTGACTGTGCGTTCACATCTGAAAACACTGGAACTGAAAGGCAAAACACAAAGAGGGCAGGTGTGCATATTAGGGTTGAGCAGTGTTCATTTTACACAGGGGAATTTACTGAGTGAATTTTAAATAACATGATAATACCTTAAATAGAAAGGACTGACAGTGAAGATGTTTGTGGATTTTTCTGTTGAGACTGAATGTTATATATATGTTTCAAAATCCCATTGTCATCTCAGCAGCTGTATTTCCTTTTGAATTTATTATCATGGATTTTTGTCTGTATTGTGTGTCTTTAATAACTGACTTAACTAAAATTATTTTCAACTTATCAAATTCTACTTAAATTTTCGATTCAATGTTCAACTTCAGCATACATTAGATTTTTTTAAACTATTTATTAATATAGTGCATTTACTTGATAATAAATCTTGAAAAATCTTGAAAAATATACACTTTTCAAAACATTACTTTTTTGGGTTTTATACTAAAAGAATTTTAGAATTGGATTTTTTGTGTGTCAAATATGGCATAACAAATACCTTGGCATAATAATTTACTCTGCTTTTAAAATGTTCTAAATGTAAGTTTACCCCTGCAGCACAAGTGGTCCAGTCACAAGTATGTGAAAGCAAAAACATCTCCTTTTTGGACGTAACAACAACATTCTGATTTGTCATTTGTATTTGGCATAAATTATTAAGTTGTCATAAATAATCTGGTCATAAAAATAATTATATTCTGATAATTGAGATTTGGTACCAGTAAAAATTTAGGGTAAAGTAGAACGGTAAAGAAAAGTAAAATGGTTGTGGGACATTAATCTGATAATGCATGCAATTCTGGAGAAGAAACAAAAACAGACTAATTAGCCAGCTCTCTATGAATTAACCCAGTGTTTTCAAACTGATTTCTTACAGTCTTTATTAACATATGAAAAGTGAGTCTGGGCTCTGACTGCTCTCTAAACATCAAGAAAGTGACAAAAGAAGAACATGGATCATAGCTGCCAACATTATGTGAATACACAACAATAAACCTGATGCACAAGTTTATTTGTTTTTAATGGTAAGACTTTCTGTGAATGACAATTTATAAAAAAAAAACTAAAATAAACAATAATAAAATAAAAAAATAATATAACATTAAAATGATGTAAAATACCTATAAATATTATAAATGTATATATTTCTAAATATGATACAGATTCAGATTCTGGGGATAAAAGTGCCAGTATAACCTAAAAGTTCATGTGTAAGAAATTCAATGTTATAATAGAATTTATATTTTTAGAAAAAAAAGAGTGCCTCACACAATAAAATTCTGAATACTGAAGCGATACTAATGTAATTTACTGTGAAAAATTAGAGTAATGAAAGAGTCTAAGCCAAAAAGCCGAATGATGCCTCGGTTCCAGCTCGCATCTCACCCTGCCTGTTGGACATTTCGCACTGGATGAATGATCATCATCTTCAGCTTAACCTTGTGAAAACGGAAATGCTTGAAGTTCCTGCCAACTCGACTCTACACCATAAATTTTTAATTCGGATGGATGGGGCAACCATTACTGCATCCAAAATGGTGAAAAGCCTTGGAGTAACGATTGATGACCAACTAAACTTCTCTGACCACATTTCTAGAACTGCTCGATCTTGCATATTTGCACTCTAATATCAGAAAGGTCCGACTCTTCCTATCTGAACATGCAGCTCAACTCATTGTTTAAGCTCTTGTTCTCTCCAGATTGGACTATTGCATCTCTCTACTAGCCGGGCTTCCAGCTAAAGCCTAGTTCACACTACAGGATTTTAAACATCAGCAGATCGCTGTGCCGTTCACACTACATGACCTGACTTTGTGTCTTTTAATCTCTGTGGTGTTCACACTACGCAACACTCCGTGAACGATCCACAAGAGGGGGGTCACACACTACATGATCTGACAACAACTCATTCCCCATCAGCTCATTCAAGCTACCAAACCACAGCCAATGAAATTTTGAGGGAGGAGTCGTCAGAAAAAAGCTGAACACTATTGGCTGCTTGTGTGCTGATTACATCACTGACAGCGTTTCAAGCTTTGAAGAAAGCATTTAAAAACATTGTCAAATCAGCTGATTTATCAGGAGATCAATCACTCATCTGCAAGCTTCCAGTGGATAGATACACAGAGAGTTAATTTTTGTAATTTTATAACTCTTTGAAATAAAACTAACATATTTATAACACCCTGCCGTTTTCTAACTATTAGTGTATTTCTTTCTGACATAGTTTTTTTTTATTACAAAACAGTAAAGAACTGAGCATTTCTGCCTTAAATTACCATATTGGTTAAAATGACTACATGCATGTCTAATACTTTTCACTGTGACTTTAAATATGTGTGCATTTTCTTGCCTAGCAACTTCCTGCTAACATAAACAAAACTTTCTGATGGCAAAAACATCAATTTACTTCAGATATCTTTAAAAACAGCATATTATGTGCTGTGAAATAGCTCCTGTTTGAAAGTGAAAATGAAAGCCAAGACTTTTAAGTGTTTTAGTATCTTAACTACATATTTATAGGCTGTATTACAAAAAAAGATTATATTTTTAGGGTAATGGTGTCATTAAATATGATGCCAGACATTCAAAGCTTAATTTTAATATCTCAATAATAGCTTTGAATGTAAATATGTTGTGACAATATGGCGTTTTATATAAGAACCATCAGAATGAGCAGTATGGTAATTCTAATAGTTACAGAATTCTAGTTCCACTGTTAATATAGCCTACTCTCATGTCTGTGCTAACGCAGAATGAAGTGAGTGCACCGATGCCCATTCTGACCAATCACAGATGTTTCTGCTAAACTCCTGAGCACACAGGCACGCGGCTCATGCTAATATGCTCTTTCATTTGCTGCAGCTCGTCACTACATCTGACCACACGTGGGGTTGAGTCGGCCGACTGCTCTGGAATATTTAGCGCATGCTGAATGTTGGATTTCCGTCTGCGAGGTGTCGGCGACCCGTCAGCCAGCCTCGTTGATGCGTTGTTCAGTAGTTCACACATAAAGAGCGGCGAGCGCCGTGCACCCGCAGATTTCTTCCCGATCACAGCCCGATCTGTCGGCGAGCTCGTTAACTTCCAAATCGGGCTCAAATCAGGCTTAAAATCCTTTAGTGTGAACTAGGCATAACTCTATCAAACCTCTTCAGATGCTTCAGAACGCAGCAGCACGAGTGGTCTTTAATGAACCTAAAAGGGCACATGTCACTCCGCTACTCATCCGTTTGCTGGGCTGGTGGAACAAAACTGAAAACCACCCAGCTATACAGAGTACAGACAGCCTATAACACGCTGTCTGTATAAACACACACACACAAGCAGAAGCAAGTAACACAGACACACAGACAGCATCTCGCACAAAGCACAAAAAGCACAAAGCAACAAACAAGCTAAACACAGCATCATGCTGTCTCTTTCACACAATAACATGCGCGTGCTCGCTTGCTCGTGGGGAGCCGGGAGCAATATTTGTTGAACCACCCGCTCCTGTCCAAAATTACACTCGTTACTGACCCCTTTCTCGCTTTATTCGGAAATTTATTCCCACGCCGCAGAAATGTGGTCGGGTCTCGCAGCTCCCGCATTACAGCCGCGGGAATGCAGACCTCTACGCTGATGTTTGTTTACAAAGCGACCTCTGGCTTAGCTCCTCCTTATCTGCTCTCACTTCTACAGATTTATGTGCCCTCCAGAAACTTGCATTCTGTGAATGAACGTCGCCTTGTGGTTCCATGCCAAAGAGGGAAGAAATCACTTTCCCAAACTCTCGCATTCAATCTGCTCAGTTGGTGGAATGAACTCCCTAACTGCATCAGAACGGCAGAGTCACTTGCTGTCTTCAAGAAACAACTAAAAACTCAACTGTTTAGTCTCCACTTTCCTTTCTAATCTGCAATTGCCTCTCTGGCTCCACGGCTAACTGTACTCAAAAAAAAAAAAAAAAACTTACACTACTAATGCTTTGCTTCTTAAACTTTACAGACCTGAAACTTGCCTACAGCACTTATTCATTGTTGCTCTTATAGTTGTGTAAATTGCTTCCTTGTCCTCATTTGTTAGTTGCTTTGGATAAAAGTGTCTGCTAAATGACTAAATGTAAATGTAAAAGTAATTGAATGAATGAAATTAGAGTAATGCTGTGATATTCTGGATTTTTTTTACAGTGTAAACAATATACAAAATGGATTTTTATTTAGTCATTCATTTTTCTTCAGCTTAATTCCTTTATTCATCAGGGGTAACCACAGGGGAATGAACTGTCAACTTATCCAGCATATGTTTGACACAGCAGATACCCTTCCAGCTGCAACCCAGCACTGGGAAACACCCATAAACTCTCACATGCTTACACATACACTATGGCCAATTTAGCTTATTTAATTCACTTATAAAGCATGTCTTTGATTATTTATCCTCAATTTAGCCCACATAGAATTCTTGTGCTTACTGTGAGAAGTGTTTGGCAAAAGTGACAAAGTATTAAGAAATGTGTCCTAGCGTCTGTTAAAAACTGTAAAATAAATGCTATTTTAAAGGCGAAAAGTTATCTGCATAAGTGTAAACAGTGTTCATAAAAGATAAAGCAGCAGACAGTGTATGTGTGTGTGTGTGTGTGTGTGTGTGTGTGTGTGTGTGTGTGTGTGTGTGTGTGTGTGTGTGTGTGTAGGTTCTCTAGTGTAAAACGTTTTTAGAACTGGCTGATTAAAACTGACCAGAAGGACAACCATTTAATCTTAAATGTGTACAGCCTTGAAGTAAATATAATTATGCTTTTTTTTTTTTAAATGTTAGAGTTATTTTATAGAAAGTCGCCAGCTTTTGTTGCTGTTAAAATGGTGTCCAAGTCATTTTTGACACGCAAGTCAACAGTAAGGTTGATGGCATGCAGAAGTGGAGAAGTGTCTCAATTTACATTGTTGTTTATTTTATGTTATTCAAGAGTTTACACTTAGCTGATGATTAATTGTAAAAGCTTGTTTGGCATGCTGTCCCGGGAGAGAGCCCTGAGCTCATGAGATCCTCGAGCCCAGGGCTCCCTCCTGTTGCAAGGCGGGAGGGGAGTTTGAGCTCAGGTAGATCTCGAGAACTCCCCTGCTGTAGCAAGTGAATGATCTTGAAATCAACTACATACTAGAAGCGCGTCTATGGTGCCAATTTGGATTGTTCAATTGACTTAATTGCATGTTTTTAGGCAGTGGGAGGAAACCGGGGAACCCGACATGAGCACGGAGAGAAGTGCAAACTCCACACAGAAATGTCTGATAGTTTGGTAAAGCCAGGAACCAGAGACATTCTTGCTGTGAGGCGACAGTGCTACGCACTGGGCCACCGTGTCACCCGTCTAAGAAGGAGGAGGAAGGGGGGACTCTTCAAAATGAAGATAGCAGTGGAATGAACCCCAAGGTATTTATAGTAGTTTAGGAGTCATCTGATTGGAGCATAGTGAATTGGATAATGCGGATCCAGCCGCTAGCAATCATAAGCACGTGATCCTCTCGAAATTTGTTTATACATAAACTTCACTTAGTGGTCCATGTTAGTGTTAAGGAACAGTAATTCAGGGCATTTTTAACATTTTAGAGTTTATACCGCTCTAGCACTGCAAAAATGTTTATATTTCCTTAAACTCACCCTAGGTCCTCAAATAACATGAGAAAAAGCGTGAAAAGAAAATTCATGCGTGTGGAATAAACACAAGTGAATCAATTTGCAATCAGTGTGTGAAAAAAAAACGCAGTCGACAATGACTCACCTGGGCAACTAACAGGGGTAACCCTTACAATTTACATAGGTGTGGCCCAAGAGAACGCAACAGCAAGGAGTAACAGGCACACATTAAACAGGGTCCGACAAATGCAAATACAGGGCGGGGACTGTAAAACTATAGATGGTTACAGGTTTTCAGCTTTTCTTTAACATATTTTCCTTTGTCTTCAACAGAATAAAGAGGTTTCGAATCGCATGAGAGAATATAAATAATGTAGTAAGCTACTTTTCATTTTTGGGTATCCTCAAAACTGTTGTTTAATTTGTACAACAAAAACAATAACATTATAAAAGGAAATTACCAAAAGAAAGAAGTGGAACAAAGTGCTAACAGTTATGGCTTGAAGCAGTTTGGAAAATTCCATTGTTCTGTTTTATTAAACTGTGTCTAATGCTGCTGTGGACTATTACAAAGTGTCATGGTGAATTTAACATAATTAATTATATAATGTCATACTTTTATTTTGTCCATCAGGCACCGAGAGCATGTCAGTGAATTTAGTTTGTTTCTCGTGAGATCAGGCTGGCTTTATCACAGTGTCAAAGCTGAACATTTGCTTGGTTTAGACCAGAGGAAGCACAACCACAGGATGAGCTAATAAAGTTTAAAGGAGGAGCGACTGTATAACTATATAGAGAAATGAAAGACAGACAGAAACAGAAAATGGCTAAAGAGTGTCATGTGTGTTTACTGTGGCTGATCATTCTCTGTCCACTTCCCACAGGTAAAAACAAATCTTTTAGTGATCTTCAAGATGTTACATTAAATTGCTCAAAGTAACAGAGTCTGACAGAAAGCTTATTATTTCTGGCAATCATAGTGTGTTCTCATATTAAGCCCCATTTCTTATTTTAATAGATTGATATTCAATATGATTACTCAAATGTTTTGTGATTCCTTCAGGTACCAGTGGAGCAGAAGAAACTCATGTGTTCTTCAGTTCTGGTGAAAATGTCCGTCTGCCTTGTAATAATGCTCTTTCTGACTGCACATCAACTGTTTGGAACTATAACAGACATTCAGAGACGGTTGAACTGGTTGCTGGAGGGTCACTGAAGACAGACATAATGAGACGTGAGAGACTGAGTCTGGGCTCTGACTGCTCTCTGAACATCAAGAAAGTCAAAAAAGAAGATTATGGATTTTACATCTGCCAACAATATGTGAATGGAGAACAATATGGACCTGCTGCACGTGTTTATCTGCAGGCTCTTCATGGTCAGAGTTTCTGTACAGCACATAATATCTTAAAATAACCTATAAAGAGTGAATCCATCATTGCATTTTTGTCTTGTTTTGTGTTTTAGTCTCTTCATCACTCTCTCAGACTGGGATCAGAGCAGGCAGATCTGTGACTCTCTACTGTCAGCTGGATCTTTATGCATCCACTTGTGGTGATTTGGTAAATTATGAAGGATATCAGCTAATGTGGGTGAATCAGGCTGGTGAGAATCTGATGAAAGACTCCAGATATCAGATATCGGATAACTTCTCAAGTCGCTGTATGATAACTCTGACAACAAAACTCTTAAAAGAAGATCACAACAGAGAATGGAGATGTCAGCTTACTCAGAGAAATCAACTAAAGACCTCAGCCTCATTCACTGTCAAGTACTCAGGTAAATGGTCTTTATAATATCAGTTATTTCAAGAGTTCACACTTAGCTGATAATTGATTATAAAGCATGTTTGGCATGCAGTCCCGGGAGAGAGCCCTGAGCTCATAAGATCAAGAGCCCGGGGCTCCCTCCCGCTTACAGGGCAAGAAGCAAGCTTGAGCTCAAGTAGATACTGAGAACTCCCCCCACTGATAAGGCAAAGACTGATAATCCATTGATTAAGGACTGCTATGAGGGTGTGCTGCTGATTAAAGCTTATCTATGGTGCCGATTTGATTTAGTCAATTTACGTATGTCGCAAGTTTTTGGACTGAGGGGGGAAACTGGGGAACACAGGGGAAACCCACACAAGCATGGGGTGAACATAGACTCCACACAGAAATGTCAACTGGCCGGTTAAGACCCAAACCAGAGACATTCTTGCTGTGAGTGCTAACCACTGAGCCACCCTATAGAAGAAAAAAGGGGAGAGAGGGGGTGAAAAGGAGGATTCTTCTAGACAAAGATGACTAAGGTAAGAAACTTTGGCTATTTATAGTGAGTTAGAAATCATCTGATTGATGAGACATGCATTAGCTAATGCTGGACCAGTCGTGTCAGTCACAGGCATGTGATCCTCTCGAAATTAGTTTATAAATAAACTTTGATGATGAAGTATTAAAATATATTTGAATACTTCATCATCAAAGTGTATTTAATTATATTCTACAGCTTGACATGTCTAGTCACAGGTCAAACTGAGGCAAAGACACAAACTCCAGTCAGCAGCTCAGAGACCACTGTAAATACACCAGTAACTTCTTCACAACCAAGTACAAGTACATAATCAACTGTATTAAGACACTCTAATATGAAGGTTTATCATTGAGAAGTTTATCTCAGATACCATAATCTTATCTCCAAATCTTTTATAACAATATTAAGTGTTTCCCCTTTGATTTTTTTATCTGCTTGAATCAGTCTGGTTATTCTCCTCTGACCTCTGATATGACATTTTCGTCCAACACAACTGCTGTTCTCTTGACTATTTATTTACTAAGACTTTTCTATAAACCCTAAAGATTGACCAGCCTCTCATGGCCCAACAACCAAGCCACACTAAAGGTCACTCAGAGGACAGATGATTCTTGAAGTGAACTTCAGCTGATTGTCCTAAAATTAGATTTAAGGTCACCACAGTTTGGACAATAAGCTGTCAGTAGCCTAATGATATTCATAAATTAAAATGTGACTTTTCTTTTTTCTTATCTTTAGTAGCATCAACTACAACAACAGCAGCACTGATTCCAGTTGCTACAACAAACTCTGTGATGACAAGTAGTCAAGTACCAAGACTACCAGATGATAAAGGCATGTATCACATACATTTTTGCAAACTCTCCTTCAAATAGGACATTTGTTACTTTCCTGATATATGATCTATTGTATGACCCAAAAAGTTGTGATTTGTGTAGATCAATTGGTACATCCATTGCTTTATTGTAGCACTGCACAATCATGGAATCAATTTCATGAAACACACATTCTTAACAGTTAAACATTTAAAAAGTGCAAATAATGTTCCGTAGCATTTACAAAAATCATGTGGAGGTAAGGCATCACTAGAAGAGGGCTTCAAGATTATTCAAAGCACAATACATTTAAAAAAAAATACAAAATAAGCTGAAATGTCTTCAATAAAATATAAGATTAATTTGACGTATAGTGTAACAGAAATTAGCTCATTTTATGAATATTAATAATCAACAATAACGGTTTATTCTTAATTATTAATATTCCGGCTTAAGCTTCAGTCAATTTGGTCGAACAAACATATGATGGTATATAATCCTGCCCGCTCAACGGAGCGGACTCTCAGATTAAGAATATTAATTATCAACAATAAAGAATTATTATTAATCATTAATATTCTGGATCAATTTATTGTTAATTTGACCAAACAAACACAAGCAGAGCCGCAGAGCGGCCACGGCAATGGTCTATTCATTTAGAAAAAGGGAATTTAATTGCTACTTCTTGTGAAGTAGATTAATCATTCATAAGTTTTAAACAACTTATAATAGCTAGGCAGGGGAATCTGTATTTCAGGGACATTTTCTCGTGAGGCAAACAATACAATTCATTTGATTATAATGGAATTTATTGACTAGTCAGACGAATAACGAACAAACACACAAACGTACATTAAACACAGAACAAAGGTAAACCACGTGGAGATATCGGGTCTATACGGGACTATAAAACATGTACGAACAGAGAGAGATAGCAAAGCGCGGAAATATGGATTTCAGATAAAAGAGTCGCAAAATCTGGTTTCAGTTCCACACACACCACTAAGGATAACCAAGATTATAAAAAAACACCTTTTTGATAAAAGGGGCACAGCTTATTCGCATAACTAAAAATACCTGGGCTTTCATGTCTGGAGGTCTCTCTCTTTATGCGGGTCTCTTCCTGATGAAACTCCTTTTGATGTCCTTCTTGATGCATGGAGTTTGTAATGCAGTTCGGACGAACACGATCGCAAACTTTAAACTGAGTTTACTTTGCCGGAAAATAAAGAAAAGCGTGGCGGGAAAAGTCCATGCGGCTTAGAAGACCCTTTGAGGGCCACGTTTTGATCAAGTGTGCCGCAAGCCTACGTTTGAGTGAAGGTTTCGGCCGTTAGATCGCCACCTGGGGGCTGGCTGCAGTACAAGTCATAAAGCCCGCCTCCTCCGTGTTAATGAAGGAGACTTGAGCCCAAATAAAAAAAAATATTACACTTGCAATAAAATGTCCCGAAAGATAGTTCTGGTCGATTAAGGCACTGGTTATTGTGCTGAAATAGGTCCAGATCTTCATTTTTGTAAACAGTTTGTTTTTAGCAGTAATTTAATGCTGGGCGTGTCATCGTGATTGACAGCTGTGATTGACAGTTTCTCAAAGCGCAGCGTCTGAGCTTCGGCAGGAGACTGAAGTAGACTGAAATGTTATTATTCGATTTCTGTGTTATTTTACCATGACAAAATGAGTTCAGCAGTAAACTATAGTTTCTGACATACATGATCCTGGTGGAACACTGTTTATTCGCTAAGTTCAGGGCTTTTTTCGGGCTTTATTAGTTTGCTGATTCACGCCTAGCCACCCAGATAGCAAAACACAGTTCCGGCTAGATTCTCGCCTGCCGGAGACTTATCTCTTAGAGCTCAGACTGACTAATGTTACCTCTGCTGGACCTACTCCGGATGCCTGGACTCACTACCCAATTCCAGCTTGAGTCAATCGAGCCAGATGAGGCGGCCGAGCGAGCAGGCGCTGCCGCATGCGAGCCGGAATCAGCCCGCGACGCCGCGAGTAAGTTATGCGCTGCGGCCTGGAGCTGGCGCGATTGAATATATAAAACCCTCATATTTGTTAACGTTATTACATCCATTTGTGTTGATATGACAGCAAACGCATGCTGAGAAGTTCGGGGGGCGTAGTTGATTTTACATAAAGCGTTTGATTGGAAGCTCGACTCCGCTCATTTTCGCGGCTCCTCCTCTGGCTCCATCAGACAATCCTTCTGCGCATGTCTGGCTCCAATTTCAGCAGTCTTTTGCGACAGTTTGTGCCCGTCAAGCAGGTGTTTTGCCCTCAAGGCGTTCAATGGGAAAAAGGGCTGTCGCGTCGTCCATATTTTTTACAGTCATTGGTTTTGATGGGTTCTTTGTTCGGACGTTCTCTCTCTGGATGTTTGGGGAGAAGTCTGGTTATACCTGCGGGTCACGTGACAACCCGTTCAGCATTCTGACCAATGATTTCAGGACAAAGTGCGCGTGCGAACCTTCCTTTGTCTCGAGGCTGCTCGTATGCAAATTTGAGTGTCCGCCCAAAGCATGCGGACAGGCATTTAATACAGGGGATTAAAGAATAAAGCAATGCGAGTTATGATCTTGCTCTATGCATCATGTGTTGTAAAATGTCAGCAGAAACCCATCGGTACCAAACATGGGGGGTTTAAAAGTACATCAACATAATTTTTCATATCCTTACATTATTTATGCTTTAAAAAGGCCTAAAGGGAACATGCATACAGGTTATAAGAGAGGTTACACAGGTAAGAAAAGTCAGAATGAGATACAAAGTTTACAAAACATAACACTTTAGTTTTGTGCTGGTCCAGGATTTTTTTGAGTTCATTTTCTTTCTGTCGGAACAGCCTCGTCGGTGTGTGTGTGTGTGTGTGTGTGTGTGTATTTGGGCAGGAATGTCTTTGAAGTTCCAGGCTTATCTCTCCAGTCTCCCTAGATTACTTAAGCTGTCACGAAAATCCAGACTTCTTGGAGCCAGGAGTCGTAAAACCCATGCGAAATACTCCGTGATAAAATCAATAAGTAATTTTATCTTTGGACTGTACGCTACAATAGCTTCATTTTGTTTTTTTGGAAAAAAACAGAGTTCACTATAAGGACAACTAATATCAAAATTGTGATTTCTTCTAGACTAGCTAATGTACATTGATTAATAATAAAATTATGGGTATTTATGGGGCGAGGCAGTGGCACAGTAGGTAGTGCTGTCGCCTCACAGCAAGAAGGTTGCTGGGTTGCTGGATCGAACCTCGGCTCAGTTGACGTTTCTGTGTGGAGTTTGCATGTTCTCCCTGCCTTCGCGTTGGTTTCCTCCGGGTGCTCCGGTTTCCCTCACAGTCCAAATACATGCGGTACAGGTGAATTGGGTAAGCTAAATTGTCCATAGTGTATAAATGTGTGTGTGTGGATGTTTCCCAGAGATGGGTTGCGACTGGAAGGGCATCTGCTGCGTAAAAACTTGCTGGATAAGTTGGCAGTTCGTTCCGCTTAATAAAGGGACTAAGCAGACAAGAAAATGAATGAATGAATGAATATTGAATATATTTCTAGTTAAGCTATAAATTAAGAAACACAATTATAGCTTATGTACAACTTCGCAAATTACAGTGGCAGTCAAAAATAAGTTTTTTTATATTTTGACTGTAACATCACTTTTTTTTCTCATTAAAACGATTATTATATTTGGTGATAATTTTTGTTTTGTAGAAAGTAGCCAATGACTGAGTATCTGAAATTACACTCTGTTTCCCAGTGGTGGACTGCAGTTGCGTGTTTTTTTTTTACATCGCTAATGTTCTTAACTAAATGATCTCCTATTCATAAGTATTTCTATTTTATCATAGTTGTGTTTTTTTTAGGATACTTTTACTTCCCAATATTCAAAAACAAAGTTTTATGTAATTAAATGTAGCTGAGTAAAAAAATATTTTGAAGGGGTGAAATCTTCACCTGCTCAGAGACACAACTTTAATTTCATGAACAAAGTGAACAACATCATTTTACAAATTGCACTAAACAATTAATGTATAAATTAGACTGATCCAATCAAATCTGTTCTTAAATCAACAGCTCAGTGATTTAAATGATCGGTTAAGAGTCAATCTCAATTCATTGAATTTACAAACTGATCTGAAAACTGAATATACTTTTAAATCAATGTAAAATATGTCACGTTTGCCCCTGTAGAATGAGGTATTAAACTTGTTTGATTACAATTAGTTGGTGTCACATTTTTAAGTAAAATCACCTCTTTTTATATGTGTCTGCACACATTTAAACATTTTAACTAAACATTTTTGCTACACAGAGAGCAGCTCACACGCCCAAACCACAGCATCAGCACCAACACAACAAGGTATTATCAAAAGTTTTTATCTTCCTATTAGTTCCACAAATTGACCATTGCAAATGGGGTGGCGGTTGGTGGGTGAGAGGGAATGGCCTGTGTAGTTTGGTTGTGGGTTGTGTGGTACCCAGCGAAACTGAAGAGGGGGTTGTGCTAGGGTTTAGGAGGGGGTTGTGCAGGCGACCGGCGAAAGTGGAGGGTCGGGGGGAGGTGGGTGTGGGTTCACTTGCTGTCGCAGGGGCCCTAAATTGCCCGGGGCCTATGCACTCTGTCCCCCTTTTCCCCACTGGCGACACCCCTGTGTCAAAATGCAAATACTTTACAATTCATTTTTGACATCATTGACCTGAACTGAAGATATTATTCACAGAAGCAGAAACTAAATTCTGTATGACTTTTGGATCATTAATCAGAGGTATGAAATGTCTGTTTATGCTAATAATTTTATACTATTGCATGTTCGATGTTGGTGAATTTGCAATTATTATTGGATTTCTTTGATTTCATCAAAAAGGTCATTTAAACTTTACCATATTGACTTTCTCTCATCTATCCACATGTTTCCTGTAGTGATTGTGATTATTGTTGAGATTGTGGTGTTTGCTGCTCCTACTGTGATTCTTCTTCAGATCATCTGTGCAAGAAGAGCTGGTGAGTTTTGAGCGTCTCACATAATCTAATGATTCATGATGATCTCTAACAATCTACAGTAAAAATGCATTTGTGAGGTCAGTTAATTTTTGGTGTTAGTCATTATTATTTGTATTCCATATTTTATAGGAAGGAAGAACTTGCATCCAGAGGAAGATAGGGATGCCTGCAATATTAGATGTAAAAGCCAATTAAAGGGATAGTTCACCAAAAAAAAAAATTTAATTTACTCAGAGTTAACTCTCCCCATGAGGTTACAAACCATTATGAGTTTCTTTCAAAATAGAGCAATAAGAAGATATTTTGAAAAATGTTAGAAACTGCTGCCCATTCACATCCATAGTAGGAATAACAAAGAGGTTAGTGTTACAGGTTTCCAACATTATTCAAAATAACTTTTTGAACATTTTTTACTTCAAGGAAAGAAATTCTAACAGGTTTGCAACATGTATAAGGGCGAATAAAGGATTACAGAATTATCAGAAATATCCCTAAAGTTTATTGTGCAAATTTAGCATAATTTCATGTAATTTCCCAGTGCTATATTGTAAATACTGCTTTCAAGTAAGAAATGTTTGTGTGTACTGTACTGTGCACTATAAAAAAATATCTGATAATTATTAAATGTGAGTGTTTTATGTTGATTTACTCTTGTGGTTTGCAGTATGGGACCTTGATTTCTACTCTGTTGACTTTTGATGTTGAAAATTCAGTTCTACACTTTAACAAAAAGACTTTATTGACACTTTAGAAGTTTGAAATAGAGAAATTAGTTTGTAAAATAGCGGAAAATTACAGATTATTACAAGGTTTTTGTACCGTATTATACAACAGACAACCCAGGCATTATATCACTTTAAACTATTAAAATTGTTAATAAATGTCACTTTGGTAAACCTTTCAAGGCTAAATGTTGTTGTCCCATGAAATTCAACAGCATAAATAAACGGGAAAATAAAAACGTGAGTCACAAAATACAGAAAACTGCTAATTTACAGATATTTATTATAGTGTAGTAATTGTTACTCCCCCCGAGATAAAACAAAGGCTCAAGTCGTTCTTGATTTTAACTGACATTTATTCGGACACGAGTCTGTATTATGTCTTGTACATTCTAGCCTTGCACTACTTTATGTCCCAATAATGGTGTCAGATCTACGAAAAGAAAACTTAAATTAACCCTTTAAAGGTGATGTTGCACATAATGAACAACATACATACAACCAAAAGATAAAGTGCACATTCAACATGTAAAGAAATACACTTAATTGGCTAATTATACATTAACATACGGACACATAATTATACATGTTCACATACGTTAACACTATACGACACATACCTCATTGGCCTCTTTAACTCAAGAAGGATTGCAGTTGAAGGGTTGCAGTTTCTCTTAAACAAACTTCTTTGTACTTCTGAATCCTTAAAAAATGTGTTATTAGCACAGTTGTGGCTGTACTGCTTGTAGTGCATCGGAAGAATATCTTGATTGCAACAATGAAATAATTCCCAAGCTAAACATAACAAGAAATCGGTTCCCCCCTCCCTTTTTATAGTTTTAGTTAAATAACTTTAAATGAATTAACATGCATTAACAACAAATATACATTACTTATCTATTCTAATGATTACTCTGAACATTTTAACTATGTATTGCATTTTTAATGCAAAGTGTTTGTTTATAGAGTGTAATATATAAGAATTGCTTCTGACGGCAGCTACAGTAATAATTGTATTACATGCAATAAATTTGTAACCTCTTCTGAAATGAAGTAAATTTTACGTAAGTTTAATACTAGCCAGCATTTATAAGAGCAGGGGAGGTATAACACATGATACTGAGTTTATAATCAGTATGAATATGCATTTTATAATGAGTAAGTCATTAGAATTATAGTCCACAAGGTGATTTTGCTAAAAAAAAAAAATATATATATATATATATATATATATATATATATATATATATATATATATATATATATATATATATATATATATATATATATATATAAACAAATAGCATAAACATTTTATGAAATAATCACAAGAGACAGGAATTGTAATATTTGGCTAAATTAGAAGCAAAGAAGCAACTTTATTTTTTCATCCTGGCTTCGATCAGCTGAAGAACAAGAAGAAATTAATTTGAAGAATTGTTCAATGCATTTAAATTATTCTCCTTTTATATCATCATTGCAGTGACTGACTGATACAAATGTGAAATAAAGATACATATTTAGTAACAGTGTGATGTCTATATTAATTTAACGTTTCCCAGTGTTGAACTCATATGAGCAGACAGTGAGCGGGTCGCTGTTTTTACCATCCAGATACACTCCTGGCACCAGACTAACACAGCAAGGCTGCTTAGAGCTGTAGTTTTTCTGCACCAGCCGAGTCATGTTGTCAGCATTATAGAACAGCACCTGCTTTCTCTCACAGTCCAGATACAAGCCAATTTTCTGAGGTCTGTCTCGAATGCTTAATGGAGAGTCTTTTCCATCACAGGAAAGAACGTAGCCTTTATGGTGTTTAAGATGGAGCAGGATGTCACTCCGCTGTTTGTCAGTGCCCATCTTGATTCCCACGGTCCAGTCTGGCTTTTCTCCGACCTCTACCTCCCAGTAGTGCTGACCAGACTGAAAGTTCTCCACTGAAACTGTACCTGGGTTGAAGTCTTTATACAGACCAGTCGCTCTGTCAGCTTGCCGGATTCTGGTGCCCCCTGGAGACACTTTTAAATATGACTCTCCAGGATTTTTCAGGGTTAAACTCTCAGGAACTACAACATAAAAGAAACAATAAGGTGACAGAAGTATTTGCTATTGCAGTTCAGATATAGTTTATACAGGTTATATGTAATGATATTTCTCAAACAACAGGATTATGGTTCGTTCTAAACCTATATGAACTTACAAATCTCTAAGCTACTAATGCTATTTTAAAGGTTAAAGAGTGAAAATGTCTTACTTAAGTCAAAAATATAAGCTCTTAAAAATAATAGGAAATACTGTGAAAATGCCCCTACTCTGTTAAGCATAAAAAAATGAAAACGAAGAAAAAAATCACTTTGTTGATGTTTCACAGTATTAAATTAAACCTGGTGTCTGATTTATATTTATTTTTATTCATCAATACATAAATTGAGAAAGTTTGTTTAGGGATATGTCACTAAACATACAAGATATTTTTCCAATTCTTCACCTGGTTTGATGGATCCCAGCATCTGCTTCCACACAAAGAACTGCAGGTGAGTTTCATGAGGACCAAGAAAGAGGGAGTCAGGAAGAACTGTGAGATCTTTCACTCTTGACATATACCTGAAACACACAGTCAAATCTACATCAGAAACTTCAGCTCTGCAGAAAACTGAACACAGACTGATTTCACTAAGGGTTAAAAAACAGCACAGCATGAGACTCACTGGGTATTTGATGGCTTCACACCAGCTTTTTGCTTCATGTTATTTGTCATCGGAAATCCTTTTTCATTCCACCACTGCAGAAAAACACACACAATAACCTTTATACCTTATTTATTATGTATCTATTGATAATATAGATAATATATCTTGTGAGCCTTAGAAAAACAAATATCAAGTGTTGTAACCTGTAGAAAGTGATCGGGTTGATCAATCTCCAAAGCTGACTGCAGAATAATCTCCTTCTCTTTGTTCTCCATGAACCTTTGATTTATCACAGACTGATTAGTCTGCAAGGCTTCTGTAACTTTCTTCTCCTCCTTCTCTAACAGTTTTTTCACCTCATCCTCTATTTGTCGTAAGATCTGGTGCAGTTCTTCAAAATGATCAGAGATTTGGGCTGATAAGGTTTTGGATTTATCCTAAAAAAGAGAAAAACATTCAGGTTGTGGCTGTGCATTACTGGTATGTTAAGTTTATTCCTGATCTAGCTGTTTTTTTCAGTAACAAATAAAATATGTGATTAAATGTGATTTTTTTTTTCTTTGTATGTGTGTGATTAAGATGCGATTAACCTCCGGGTGCTTCGGTTTCCCCCACAGTCCAAAGATGCAGTATAGGGGATTTGAATAAACTAAATTGGCCGTAGTGTGAGTGTGAATGTGAGAGTAGATGGATGTTTCCCAGTACTGGATTGCAGCTAGAAGGGCATCCGCTGTATAAAACATGTGCTGGATAAGTTGACGGTTCATTTTGCTGTGGCGACCCCTGATAAATAAAGACTAAGCCGAAGAAAAGTGAATGAATGAATATTTGTGATGTTTATTTTTGGAGTCAGATTCTTGAAAAAACTTTTTAAAAATTTTGAAGAACAGTTGCATCGCCCTCATATTTTTGACTTTACGTGCCCAAAACCATAATGTCACAAAAGATACATGACAGACAAACAGATTTAAAACCGGGACACACTAAGCAAACGGTTGGCCATTGGGCAGCATCGGGCCATCAGTTACTGTCTGTCAGGATAGACTGTTCGGTCTGTTTCACATGTCATCTCTCATCTGAGGTGACAAAACCAAGCAAATGGCACAAGTCAAGGAGAACATAAATAAGCCAGATCTCATTTTCTCAAATTTCTTAAATATTAGCAACCAATGTGGATTATCAGATTATCAAACATATTTGCACAAGCAAATACATCTGTGGTTTGAGAGCATTGTGAAAATGCTGTAAACGCTGTTTATGGTTTTAATGTGTGCAGCAATACTTGTGGAATGACAATTCAGGATACTGCCACCTGTGGGTTTGACATGATACATCCTTTTATGCAGACACTGGATAGATGTTCTACTTTCAGTTTGCTGTCCTGTCGTCTTGTTGTCTTCATGCACAGTTTTTTTTGGTCCAGATAAGACCAGACGCAGCCAACATGAGGCTACAACACAATCAGTTTTTATTGCTGCTAGTTCTTTGACGTTGGCTTAGTTTGTCCCGAGCTTTTCACCCTCAAAATTTAATTTTAATCAAAGACAATTTGATTTCAGCTATGACAACTGTCAAACCAAGAACCAGAAGTGCTGAATCCGATGACATGAAGAGCATGACAACTTCAAATCACCTTGGGGAAATATTTAAACCAGCCTGATCTCAGGAAGAAACGTAAGTATTCTATGTTTTGTCAGTTTATTTGTCAGGCTAATTCAAACGAATTTGTATGAATTCAGTCATCCAGAAATGTACCATTTTAAAAAAGGAGGCATAGCACCCAACCCCGCCCCTGCACTCGACCATCATTGGGGTATAAGCAAATCACTTTAAATTGTCTGAATGAGATACGAACTCATACAAATTAGTCACTGAATCAAATAGTTATGATTTGCTGTCAGATCGTCTTGAACGGGGTGGGGGGGGGGGGGGGGGGGGTATTAAGGCATTCTATGGGTAAAATTAATGCTACATATTGTTTGTGTTTGCTGGGAGGTATTGTTTCAAAATGGGGTTACAGAATGTGTCACAGATGGATGGCATCCAACTCCATATGACTCTTGTACATGTTCATGTTTGACACATATTGATTTTCATTCCAATAGTATCTGGATGCAGCCTTTATGATGCAGGCTTAGATTGCATCACTCACCGATGCAATGTCAGACACAATGCACTCAAATGGAGCTAGTGACGTCACTGTGAGGGGTAGGGTTAGGGGTGGGGTTAGGTAAGCCCATTAAAAAGCATTGCACGCAGCTCAGATTGCACTGCACCAGGTCTGCTGTCAGTCAGTCTAATATTATATCATCTGACATCTTACAGTGTGACATGGGGATCATGTTCATGCAGTCTAGCTACAATCATAAACAATTTTTAAAAATCATACGGTGTGAGCCGGACTTTAGTCAAACAAGAGCTGAGTAAATGAAACAAATGAATTTACAATTTAGACATTGAAAACATGCTCATTGAACTAAAGTATTCAAGTCAGTGTATGCATTAATTGTGTTTTTAATGTACTTTTAAATAAAATAATACATCGGCCAAGACTTGTGCTATCATGAAAGTCAGTGTTTTCCAACTTATTTAGATGTTATGATACCTCAGTTTTGGTGATCTCTGAGGTCTGTTGTTGTATCATGTAATCCAGTTGTCCATTTTCTTTGGCAAGAAAACCCAAAGCAGTCTTTAGCTTCCCCTACAGATAAATAAACACTTAATACATGGTTTTAAAGATGTTTCTATGAGCCTGAGATTAAAAATGATGACTGAAATGATTTAAATAGAAACCTAATTATGTCTAAATAACATCCAACAAACAGCTTTGTAAACAAAGAATTGAAAGCAAGAACATACTCTTATTATTTAGTTACTCATACGTCATTGATAATGTTTTACCTTGTTTATCTCTGCAGCTTCTTTCACTGGTTTAAAGACGTGTCCTTTATGTTTGTCTCCATCCCTGCAGATGACACACACCAGCTTCTGATCAGTCTCACAGAACAGTTTGAGCTTCTCGTCGTGTTCAGAACACATCAGCATCTTCTCCATATCTGCAAGCTTCAATGTTTGCGTTCCTTCTTGAGGTGTGGATCTGTCTGATTTCTGCTCTGCAAGGTGCCCACGTACTGTCGAGGTCATGTTTCTCAGTAAACGGCTGGCTTTCAGGTCTTTTTCGTTGTAAGGTTTTTGGCATTCTGGACAGGCACTTGGTCCCAGGCTGGCCTGCATATGGCCAGTAATGCATTGACGACAGAACGAATGCTCACAAGAGAGAGTCACCGGATCCGTAAAATCACTCAGACACACGGAGCACTTGATTTCCAAAGACAAAGGGGAATGCATTTTAGCTTTCCTTCTGGTCAAGACCGTGTTTTGAGCTTTGAACTGAATGTTTTCTCTCTTTAAAATCAGCTCCTTTCTGTCAAATTCTGCTTTCTCTTCCTTGTTTTTGAACAGAATATCAAATGTATTTAAATTTGAGTTGCATAACAAGGTGTTGTTCCTCCCACAGGTTGTATAACAAGGGAAGTAATCAAACTGGAATGTCAAACCTTATACCTTTGTTTACAGAATACATATTGTGTACTGTGCTGGTGCAAATACTTTTCAATCAAAGCATGTGTTGAGCAGATAGACAGGTCCATTGTTAAATCTGTCAATAGTGCTTTCCATATAACCTTTAACGGATGAACAAATACTTTACTTTTATTTTACCCCACAAAAGAACTGTTTAAAGAGATAGTTCACCCAAAACTGAAAATCCTTTACTTACACTTCACTTGTCATGAACTTGTTTGATTTTCTTTCCTCTGTTGAACACAAAAGAACATAGTTTGAAGAAAGCTGGAAACCTGTAGCCATTTGTTTGTTCCATTAATGTCAATGGTTACATTATTGCAGCTTCAAAATATCTTCTTTTAGGTTCAGCAGAAAAAAACTCTTAAAAATTTGAGACCATTTGAGAGCAAATAAAGACTAAATAAGTTTTAAATTTTTAGTGATCTGTACCTTTAAGACAACATTATAGTTGTAAATACCAATTAAATACAATCTCAAATTACATTTGGCCTTTTAATGCATAAATACACAAATTAAAATCAAACCAAATACCAAAACAATACATAAGTTATTCCAAAAATATATTTTTAATGTGTCTAAAAGTTATCACTGTGCCTAACTCAGAGCTTATGTTTCCAATAAAAATAGCTTAGTAACAATAGTGACTTATATTAATTGTAATAGTAACAATAGTTTGTGTTTCCATCCAAAAATGGCAATTTAAATTTATGCGCAAAACTGAAATTTCACATAAAACATTTGTGAATAAGGCACCGCCTTGGATTTTGGAGGCATTAGTTTGTGTTGAACCATCCCAGTTCCTATATATTTAGTTCCTGTTTCATTTTTACATTACATTTACTATACACTCACCAGCCACTTTATTAGGTAAACCTATTCAACTGCTTGTTAAAGCAAATTTCTAATCAGAAAATCACATGGTAGCAACTCAAAGCATTTAGGCATGTAGACATGGTCAAGACAATCTGCTGCAGTTTAAACTGAGCATCAGAATGGGGAAGAAAGGTGATTTAAGTGACTTTGAACGTAGCCAGAGAATGGTCTGAATAGTGCAAAGAAGAGGAAATTTCCAGCGAGCAGCAGTTCAGTGCAAATGACTTGTTGATACCAGAGGTCAGAGGGGAATGGCCAGACTGGCACAGGGTCACCAAAATTGGACAATAGAAATATGGAAAGACGTTGTCTGGTCTGATGAGTCTTGATTTCTGCTGCAACATTTGGATGATAGGGTCAGAATTACTATCAACAATATGAAAGTATGGATCCATCCTGCCTTGTATCAACAGTCAGGCTGCTGGTGGTGGTGCAATGGTGTGGGGGATATTTTCTTGCCACACTTAGGGCCCATTAGTTTAAATTGAACATCATGTCAATGCCACAGCCTACCTAAGTATCGTTGTTGACCATGTCGAAGGTTTAAGGCAGTAAAGTGGGTCCAAGCCAGTACTAGTAAGCTGTACCTAATAAAGTGAGTGTATATCAGCAATGCAATTACTTCAATTTTCATGACAGTTAGTCGTACCATCTTGTAAGTTGTTGTCAGTAAGTTGTTGTCTTGTAAGTTTTTATTTTCAGTCTAGAAGTATGTGAAGCATCTTGTTCCCTGATGTGAAAGGGTGTGATCTGACACAAAAAGGCCTAAATAAACACTACACCTCCATTGTTTCATCAGCAAAGTGTATACTTAATAGTCTGACATACTAGTCTGACTACAGCAGGTGAATCATGGCTTCAGCTCTGTCTCTTTACCTCATGTGTCCGGTGTGTCTGAGTGACTTCAAAGATCCAGTAAGTTTGCCCTGTGAACATGTTCTCTGTCGGCAGTGTGCTTCCAGGTATTTAGAATCCAGCAAAGGACCTCATAAATGCCCAGAATGCAGACAAAACTTCACCAGGACGGATCTTAAAGGTATTCGAGTTCTGAGAAATGTTGTGGACGCCATACAAGAACAGCGTAAGAAAAAGCAATTGATTCAACCGAACGCAGAGGAAATGCTGTGTTCTGAGCACAAGGAGCCGCTTAAACTTTTCTGTGTCAATGACCAGAGATTAGTTTGCCTCATCTGCAAAGAGGGAATGAAACACAGCGGACACAGTTTCAAACCTGTAAAGGAAGCTAAGGAGATGAGTGAGGTTGAAACAACATATTTGAATTTAACAGCTAATTTCATATGAATTACTGTGACATGAATATGTGTGGAATAACAGATATTTTTGTTGTTGTTATTATAATTTAGAAAATGGTGAACAAAGCATTGAGTTTTATTTTAGATGACAACAAGCAAATGGGTGACATGATCCTGAATCAGACGCTTGAAATCACAAAATCCAAGGTGGGTTAAAAGACATTTTGGAAACTTTTTAAACTACAGTTTACAAATTAAATACATTAATAAAAATGGTTATTTAACATTAGTTTTTGAAGATATCGTTGTTCATTGTTACCTAATATGAACAAGCACAACTTTAGATTTTAATGTTGCATTAGTAAATATTAAACTACAATTAATAAATCGTTTTTCTGGTGTCTTGAGAAAGCAGAGTTTGAAAGTTTGAGGTAGTTTCAAAGTTTAAATCATTGAAGCAGTTTTAAGGAGTTTAGATATAGATAACTACAGATAACTACAGATATGTCAGCATGTTTCTAGTATGGATTAGCATGTTTTTTGCTAGGTAGTTGATAGGGTGTTCTGAGTGGTTGCTACAGTGTTGCTAGGTGGTGGCTAGGGTGTTCTGAATGGTTGCAAAGGCATTGCTAAGGTGTTCTGAGTGGTGGCTTAAGTGTTGCTAGGCAGTTGCTATGGTGTTCTGAGTCTTTGCTAGGCAGTTGCTAGGGTGTCCCAGGTAGTTGTTAAGATGTTTTCAGGTGGTTGCCAGGGTATTCTGAATGGTTGCTAGGCTGTCGCCGGGAGGTTGTTAGGGTGTTCTAGGTGGTTGCTAAGGCATTGTTTGGCAGTTGCTAAGGTGTTCTGAGTAGTTGCTAGGCAGTTGTACAGTCCTATGTGGTTTCTAAGGCATTGCTATGTAGTTGCTAGGGTGTTTAGGTGTTTCTAAGGTGTTTTGAGTTGTTGTTAAGGTGTGGCTAGGCTGTTGTTATGGTGTTCGGGGTGAATGCTAAGGCATTGCTAGGTAGTTTTCATGGTGTTCTAAGTGGTTGCTAAGGTGTTTCTAGGCGTTTACTGGGGTGTTATGAGGGGTTGCTATGGCATTGCTAGGCAGTTACTAGGGTGTTCCAGGTTATTGTTAAAGTGTTGCTAGGTGGTTGCTAGGGTATTTTAAATGGTTGCTAAGGCATTGCTATGTGGTTGCCAAGGGGTTGCTACAATGTTCTGAGTGGTTGCTAATGTGTTGCTAGGCGGTTGCTAAGGTGTTTTGAGTGGTTACTAGGTGGTTGCTAATGCATTGCTAGGCAGTTGCTATGGTGTTCTATGTGGTTGCTAAGGCATTGCTAGGTAGTTGCAAAGGTGTTCTGAGTGGTTGCTAGGTGGTTGCTAGACAGTTGCTAAGGTGTTCTGAGTGGTTGCTAGGCAGTTGCTAACATTAATTAGCATGGTTCTAGTATGAATTAGCATTATGCTAGCATGTTTTAGTTCAAATTAGCATGTTGCTAGTATGTTTCTAGTATGGATTAGTATACTGCTAGTTTGATTTGGTTTGTTCTCAGTGTTTCCAATGTAAAGTCAATGGCAGCTTTTTTACAATAGAAGTCAGTTGCTAGAGTGCCGTAAGTGGTTGCTAGGGTGTGGCTAGTAACTTGAAAGGTCATCTGTGATTGGCAGATTGGTAGTCTAAATGAAATGAGCAGAAAGAATAATAAGTTAATGTAGTATAACAGTATTGTCTTTCTCAAGCCATCATAATGAAAGCTTGTTGTATATTGTGACTGAAAAAATGTATTATCGTTATTTTGGCTGCTTCACTTTTTTGTTCTCAAAGTCAAATGTGAATCTACAGGAAAGGGCCAAACATCTTGAGACCCTTATGCATGCTCAGTTTAAGAAAATGCATGACTTCTTGTTGAAAAAGGAGGAGGATGCAATGAGACAGATCCAGAAAGCAGCAAACAGTGCTGAGGAATCAATGAAGCATAATGGGTCGTTGTTGTCAAAGTTGCAAATAAAAGGAAACAGCCAGGTGTCCATATTGGAGTCAGGACTAAAGATAAACCAGCCAGAGAGGTTTTTAGAGGTAACGTTGTTCTGTAGCACATTCCAGAAACATGTTTAGACTCAGCATGGTGGATTTCATAACACCTCAAATCTGTTTCTATTATTTTCAGTGGTGGAGTAAAGACGGGTTTCCTTTGGTTAATGAAATCAGCGAGAGCAAAAACATCAAGTTTGCCATTCCAACCAAGTAAGATAGAAAATGCTTTTTAGCTGATATTTTGGACACTTTTACACAGCCATTTCTTAATATTACTGCATTACAACACAACAAAACTCCAAACATGCTTAAAAATATTTTTTATCGACAGATTTGAACCGTTTTAAATGAAATTATAGTCTATCAAATACATAAGCTAATCATGTAATACCGTTACTAATACATATTAGGTGTCTGCATAATATTATTATTTTTTAATACATTTTAAGGGTTTGTTGGTTGTTCCTTGGTGAGCTCTTTCAAGCAAATGAAAAAAAGACGCTTTTCCACTTTGCACAGCTTGGCTGACTTCAGTTCTTGCTATAATTCTCTTGTGACATTACTGTTGTAATGAAATATAAACACACAATAGTCCAGGAGTTTGCACCTTATACAGAAAGCAGTGGACAAGCCCCCAAAAGTAAGCACCATATCGTACTAAACCGAACCGTACCATACGGTGGAAAAGCACCTTAAGACACTATTATAAGATGGCCATAAGAGCTCAAACATAAAAGCTTTATCTATTTGACTACACATGTGCATATTAAATAACCAATAAAACGCAGCAACTGACTCCAGCAACTGACTAAACACAAAGAAGTCAGGTTCGTCAGTTTTTGGGGTGCTCCGACACACTTCCACTGCAATCTGCACTATTTGTAGCATATTTCTGTATTTGCATATGTTGTGAGAATTTGCATGTGCGTGTGTTTTTTAATTTGTTAGTGTTTTCTTAACATGCAAGGTGTTTGAGCTCTCAGCCATTGTGCTATTGAAGGGATTGTTCACCCAAAAATGAAAACTCTGTCATCATTTACTCACCCTTTACCTGTTTCAAACCTTTATAGGTTTCTTCTGTTAAACACAAAAGAAGATATTTAGAAAA